CTTTGTTGCACATCATTGGCAAATAAGTGGAGAAAGAGTCTCGGAAAGTCGCAAGAGCTGAGCTGTTGTGCTGAGGTCAAAAAATTTGGGGCTTTCCAGGCAGAAGAAATAAAATGTACTTCGTGGTTTTTGATAACAAATATGCTTCGTTGTCTCAAAACTTGCATGCAAATTGCAAACTTTAATCAATCTCAGTAGTTCAACAGCTGAGAGTGGCTGCTGGCTGCGACGCGAGGTGCACCTAAAGCTAGCAGCAGCGCCGCAAAGGCGACCCGCTTTTCTTTCCAAAAGGAAAGCTGCTGCTGCAGCTGCTGCTGCTGCTTTTGTTTATAAGGTGAAGCCCAGTTTGCAGGCAAGAACTCAAAGGAAAAAAGATTGCTTGACAAGCTGAAATACGGTTTCTGAGTTGTTTTTCCATTTCGTGCACAATTAAAGTTCAGAAGCGGCGTCTTTTTCCTTTTCGAAAAGGAGCAGCAAACGTTCTGAATAAAACAATTCTTTTACGAAAGGAATAAGACTTTGACTCAGTTGCTTAAGCAGTTTGTATTGTTGCTCAGAATGCATGCATGCGTTTCCGTTGGAAAAGCCAAGAGCCCAGCGTCCTCGTTTGCAGATTTTGGGTCTTTTCTGAACTCTTTCGCCGCGGTTTCTTGGCGCTGTGAGTTCCCTTTCTGTCAACATTTAATGAGCTGTCAAATTAAGCATCTTATCTCACTACCTTTTGGATTTGAATTCAAGTTAGTTGAAGATTCAGACTTCTTCCTTGGGGCTGCAGCCGTGAGCAGAATGTCGCCGAGCATTTCCACTATGGGGGGCCCCCTGTAGAGGCGCCTGCGGTCGCCTGGGGCTTCTCGAGGAATAGCGCGACGGCAGGCAATTTGGACCTGAAATCGAAGTCAATGAGATCATTAAGTTCTGCGTTGAGCTGCGCAAACAGGAGGCGGCCGCGGAGCTGCTACTTCTGGCTGAAGGCAGCAGCAACTTGCTTCCAGGCGTTGAGGAAGAGTTCGCAACCAGGGCAGCGGGGCTCGTAGTAAAGAACTGCAAGGAGGGCCCTTGGTGCTGCATGCATAGTCTAGATGAACTGGTGGTGAGTCAGCTCCTTCACAAGTCCCCCCGGGCTCACAGCCCCTAGCCGGTGAGACCTGAAGTGCAGCTCTCGAGTACCCTTGGCCCACTGCTCAAGAAAGGCGTCGAGGCTGTAAAAGCTAAGAGGCATGCCCAGGGAATGCTGCGAAAAGGGAGGGGTTTCTCTCAAGGCCCCAGAGACCCGCTGGTAGGTCCAGCGGTTGGGCCTGAGGTCTTTGAGGACAGCCCCGCCCCAGGGGCTGCTTGGCCCTGGCGGCCTCTTTGAGGCTCGTGCGGGCAATGTGGAAGGCTAGTTGCGATTTGTATTTCTCATAAGTCCATCAGCAGCTGCGCGGTGTCTTGCAAGTTTTCAAAACGACTCTCCTGTACAGGCAGCAGCGCGCGCGGAGGCTCAGCAAAGGCCCAGCGGGCACTTCGCCGTAAAACGCTTTTCTGTTTTCAGCCTCCAGCAGCAGCGCCAGCACTACTCGCAGCCCCCATATGGGTTCGAAGGAACTGAGAAAAGTTTCTTCGCCCAAGTCGAAGGGCAGCAGCTGCCTGCACACCCGGAGTTCTTCCTTCTCCGCCGCCTCCACGAACTGCACTTTGAACAAAGTCGGCTTCGACAGCAGCTGCTGCCGCTGCTGCGCCAGCTGCGCCAGCGACAGCGCCTCTGCGCTGCCTCGGTGGACCCGCGCGTGGACCACTGGTCCAATAGGCGTGGCCTGCAGCCCCCCAGCCGCCTCCCGGGGCCTCGCCTCATCTTCTGCAGAAAACTCTGCTGCCCGGCCCTCCTCAGCCAACACCCAATACGTAATTTCTGTAGCAGCCACGTCGGGGCCTCCGGATCTGCTGAACGGCACGCTACTGCTGGCCCTGCCCCCAGGGTACAGCCGCAGCACTGGGGCCTCCTTGGGGGCCCCCTAAGAGACCCCCTGGGGGGCCCCCTTAGCTCCCAGCATCTCCCGAAACTCCGAACTCTTGCTCAGCGGCACTGCCACAACCCGCGTCAGGCTGCCCCAGTCCCGCAGCAGCTGCTGTGCCTTGCGGTTCTCCCGTAACACCTCTTCAGACCGCGGGCAGTCAGCAGCAAAAACAGCCAATAGGGGGCTTCCTAGGGGCCCAAAGGCACCCAAGTCCTCCATAGAAAGAGTTTCTAAGGGCGACGTAGCTCTCCGTCTCTAAAGATTCCCCCCCGGGAGCCTGAGCCTTCTCGAAGGGGGCTCTGACGTCGGGGCAGCTCTAGTTCTTCTAGCGGGTGCTGCACCGGAGCTCCCCTTTTTCAGCTCCTCTGATCTTTGTGGCCTCCGCAGGGCAAATAAAGAAGCTTTGAGGGAAATAAAATAGCAAATAAATGCACAATCACCCAAAAAAACGCAGCAAATGCACTCTCCCTGCCCCTCGCAGCCGCCGTTGAGCCTGTCGCAGCTCCAGGCAGCAGCACCCAAGGAAGCTGGGCAACATACTTAATTGTCGCCAAATTTTGTACTGCTCCTTTCTTTTAGTTTTCATAAATGCAGTGAGACTTCAAAGACATGAGCATTAGGGAGGTCTTCGGTTGATGAGAAACACAGAAGGCCCTGAGACGCTCTGGGGGCGGAGCAGCCAGAAGATTGAACAGAATAGAGCCTTCTAGATATCAGAGATGCAATAAACAGGCGCTATGCAATTTTCAAAGACTAATGTATATTCAAAACAATGAACGAACTGAAAGTATTCAAAATTGCGGGAGGTGCCTGCAGCCGCACTGCTGTCTGGCCAGTTGTTCCGTTTTTAAAACAGCTTAATCCGCTCCCGGCATATCTGTAAAATTCAAAATCATATGACTGCAAAATTAATTAAATCTGCTCTTTTCAATATTTCTGGCTCGCTAATAAGGCAGATACAACAAAGACACCAAAGTTACTGATGAGAGACACTGCCCGTGCCAGCGCGGCTGCAGCGCTGCGAGCCCTCCAATCAAGGCCGCTAAAATCTTTCCAATTTGTCCTATTTTATTTAAATGTCTTTAACATCAAATTCAAGATCATAGAGGAACTCTAGGCAAAGATCTGAATCGGGGTAGTGCAGGACAGAAAGGCGGCCGATGGCGCGACACCGCCCCCCCCTCAATTCTGCAGATACGAAGGATCATTGCATCCTTGAGTATCTCTAATTGAAATAAATTGTTTTATCCAAAATTAAAATAAAATTAAATGATTTGTAATTTTAAATATACAGCGGAAGCCCGAAAGTTGGAGACACGAACAACCGCATCGCTCATCACTTGATCGAGCCATCGGCTTGTTGCGAACCGTCACCTACGATGTCTTTGCGCTTTCTAAACACGTTTTTTGTAGAAAAACAACGAACTTTAATTTTTAATTTAAAAATCGCTTTTTTGTCGCAAAGGGCAGTGAATGTAGTGGGTACAGAGCCGCCTAAGCCTCCCCTCCAAAGCGACTAATAATTATTGAACAAACACGGAACTGATATGTAAACGAAATAAATATAGGCTTAATATTCACAAAGCAAATCTAGCACTGCACTCATCTGGCTTGGTACGGGTTGATTGGCTGCAGCAACTACAGTTTAAGGTCTACGGTGTAGGGTCTAGGGTTTAGGGTTTAGGGTCTAGTTTTCAGTAGTTAGGGTGCAAGGCTGTATGCTCCTATTCAACCTGCTGCAAGCCCATAATCCCTAGGCCTAGCCAGCTTTCGGCAAAATTCGTATTCCTCTAAACCCTAAATCCTACGCCCTAAACCCTAAGCTCTACACCCTAAACCCTAGATGCGCAGCAGTGAATCCTTTTGAGGTAAAGAAGTACAGCAGAGAAAGTTTTTCCTGAGTCCTGTTTTGCGATATATCCGATTCAAATGGCGAAGAAGATGGCGCACCGCCTAGGGTTTAGAATTAAGGGTTTAGGTTTCAGGGTTTACGCTTTCCCACAGAATAACATATATTCATCATTTTAAAAGTATGAAAACATATATGACATATATATATATATATGTATACACACAGAAGGAGGGCATGCAGGAACGCATGCATACGAATTCACTCGCAATAAGAAGGGTCAGTGGGAAATGAACAAAAAAATCTTTAAACCCTAAACCCTCAGCCCTAAACCCTTTTTGCATTCACCGGAAACATCTATGCGTTTCAGGCCAACACGAGCAGACCGGGCCTCAAGGCTATTCCCATTGTTATTACTATCGTTATTATTATTATTATTATTATTATTATTTGTTTTATTTAGTTTTCATTGTTCTACTTTTATTTCGTTCGTGCTAAGACGCCAAAGTGAGCTGTCGACTCGATAATTGCGGAGAAACTGCACTGTAGGAACTGCCTGAAAAAACAAAAAGTAAATCAAACATAATCAAGGAAATGAGGTTTTAGGGTTTAGGGTTTAGGATTTAGGGTTTTAGTGTTTGCATTGTGCGCTTTGGCGCCGTAACGGGCCTCGGAGTAGCCTCCAGACAAATTAGCACGAACTTCCCGGGTTTAGGGTTTTCGGCTACGGGGTAAGGGCTAAGGCCTTAAGATGCAGGGAATAGGATTTAGGGCTTAGGGTTAGGGGTGTAGGGTTTGAATCCTGAAGATAACGGTTAAGCAGAAAAGCATAAGAAGAAGCAGCAAAGTAGATAAGAAAATAAACGGAGAAACTGATAACAAACAGCAGTGGACAGTAATAAATAATAAATAGATAAATAGTGCATTGTAAATTATGAGCCCCTAATATCGTGTAGAGGTCAATAAACAATAAAACAAAAATAAGAAAGCTACTAAATGAACATCTGAATTTGCCTCACTTCCTCCAAAGTCGAAGGAACTTCCTTCAGTTTCACCAGATGTTTCATCTTTTGTTTCATTCTGCTGCTCTTCCTCAGTTTTTGATTCAGCTTCCCTGCTGCTGCTGCTGCCGCTGCTGCGGCTGCTGCGGCTGCCGCTGCTGCTGCTGCGCTTCGCTTCCGTAATGCCTTCCTCGGCGTTGCCGCTGCTTTCGTTTCTTAGCCGCTGCAGCAGCTGCTGCTGCTCCTGCTGCTCCTGGCAGCTAAATCTGTTTAAGTAAGAGCCCCTATAAAGCAAAAAGGCAGCAAGTTGGGGCCTTGCTGCTGCTGCTGCTAAGTGGTAGCAGCTTAGCCCCGCCTGCGCATGCACGCATCTCAAGCCCTAAGCCCTAAACCCTAAACCCTAAACACTAAACACTGTCCCTTTAAGGGCAGCGCTGCTCTGGCTCTCGCTTCTCCCTTAAACGACGGAGACTAGCACTTAGGGTTTAGGGTTTATGGTTTAGGCTTTTCAGGTCCCTTGCAGTAGCTGCAGCAGTCCCGACGCCACTTATTGTTGCTGCTGCAGCAGCTGCTCCTGCTGCAGCAGCAACTGCTCCTAGTGCAGCAGCAGCTCCTTTTGCTGCACCCTGAATGCTTTCTTTTGTTTATCTATTTCTTGCTTTTGCTACTCATGGGAGTCTTACATTGTTGACCCGGTTTGTTTGGGCCCCCTTGCTTAGCAGCAAAGCGACAATCTGTTGCAGCAGCAAGAGGACAAAAGAAGTTATAGACTGCCGCAGCAACAATTAATAAAACCAGTAATTAAAATAATTTTATATTATTCATTCAATATCTTTTGGGATATTTTAAATAATGTTAAAAACCAGCAACAGCCCTTGCCTCTGTGCGCCTAGCGTAAACTGCCAAAAACAAGGGAGTGTCTCCCGCCTGCAGACAAAACCCTAAACCCTTAACCCTCAACTCTACGCCCCAGCAGAGACAGCTGCAGTAAAGTTTGAAAAGGCATTGTGGCGAAGAAGCAAAGTAATAAAAAAGAGACTCAATATCATTATTAATCGCATTGAACAACTAATTGACTAACCGTGGCCGCATGCTTACTGTGGCGTTAGGAACCGAGAGGGTTAGGGTTTAGGGTTTAGGGTTTAGGGTTTAGGGTTTACGGTTTAGAGCTTGTCACAGCGCTTTCAGTCGATGAGCAAAGAGTCACAGGTGCAATCAATTTTCACACAACTCAGTGCAACAGCAGCAGTAGCAACAGCTGGAATATCATCAGCAGTAGCAGCAGCAGCAGTAATAAAACTAGCGGCAGCACCAGGAGCCCAAATATTGGAATCAGCGAACACAGCAGCAGCAAGAGCCCTGATATCATCATCATCATCACCAGCAGCAGCAGCAGCAGCAGCACGAGCACCATTATGAACACCAGCAGCAGCAGCCACAGCCGCACGAGCATCATCATCGTCATCAGCAGCAGCAGCAGCACCATCATCATTGTCATCATCAACATTATCAACAGCGGCAGCAGCAGCAGCAGCAGCAGCGCACGTTGTTTGGGAGGTCGACGCTGGCGCCCCTCTCAATGAGGAGCTGCACGATTTGCAGTTGGCCGTGCACGGCTGCTTCGTGCAGCGCAGCAAAACCCAACACGTCTTGCTGGTTAAGACTGGCCCCTTTGTCCAGCAGCAGCCGCGCCACTGCCTCGTGGCCGCGGCTCGACGCGTGCCACAGCGCCGTCCGCCAGTACTACGCCGAAACCCAAAGCATAAACCCTAAACCCTAAACCCTAGACCCTTGAATCTGAAGGCTGAAGGCTGGGCTCTCGAGGTTCTGCGCGCGTTGGACTCGAGGCGGTAGACTGGCAAAGGAGGTGCAACGGCACATTCTGGGCTGCTGACCACAAACCCTAAACGCTAAACCCTAAACCCTGAAGTCTAGAGTCCTGTTAGACGTGTTTCTAGCCAGTTTATAACATGGCAGCTAGCTAGCTAGCTAGCTAGCGAAACTCCTGGCTAGCCATCGGCTCTCTAGCTAGCTAGGCTACCAGCTAGCTAGCTAAATAGCTGCCCTGGCAGCCGGTGTGTTCTTGAATAAGGCCTTTTGGCAAGTGATCGACTAACTAGCCAGCTAGCTAGCTAGCGAGCTAGCTGGCTGCATGGCTAGCTAACTATGTCTAGCTAGCTAGCTAGCCAGTTGGCTAGCCAGTCAGCTAGCTGGCTAGCTACAACAAAACCACTCACGAAATCAGCGTCAAAACTATTACCGTTCTTTTAATGAGGGCAGAAAGACACCCACAGGAGGCTCTGAGAAATCTAAGGAAGGCAAAAGTTTCATCAACTCTTTACAATCTTTTAGCTTGCCGTCCCGCGCAGCAGCCACGAGCTTTCTGCCCGCCTCCTAAGAACAAGTAAAAGTACAATTAAATGAAAAAAGCCACTCAAAGAAGAGTTAAATAAAGATACATTTTAGGGGCAGCAGCAAGGAGGGGGGTCAGGGCGCCTCTAATGGACTACTTGTGAGAAAACACTCAGTCAGTA